GGACAGGGCGATAGGCAAGTCCGCCCGCACTCGTGCGTTCGGTACAGTATGACTACAGAAGTGATAGTCAGCCGCCTGGTTTATCAAGTCAACCGATACAATGAAGTCAGTCAGTGAATGGATGAATTACGCGCGGCTCACCTTCAGCAAGGCTAGTGGGCTATTGAGAACATACTGTCTTGCTGTTAGAAATTTTTCCTCCTTTGTCAGTACACGGAAAAAATAAATTAGTTGCTTCAGCTTAACATTACGTATGCGAGCTAAATGTCAGCTGCCTGGGGGACAGACAAGAAAAATTAGGAACAGTAGATTATAATTCGTTGCGAGAGCTAATCTGTGACTATAGCAGATGAAGCGTCCCCTACAGTTGCCCAACTGCATGAGATGTCTGAACGAATGCGAAATTCATTTGTGATACCATTCGCTCGGACAAATAATGCAGTTGGGCGACAGCAGGGAACGCTTCATCTGCGACAGTCACAGATTAGCTCTTGCAACGAATTATAAGCTACTGTTCTCAATTTTTTATTTTTTTTTGCCTGTCCCCCAGATAGCAGATAGCTAACACGTTAGCTTGCATACCTAATGTTACGCTGGAACAAATATTTATTTTTTTCCGTGTTAGGGTCTAAAGTTCTTGAAATGAGCCATTACAAGACCTTCCCAGTGCCTCCTAACGACAAAGTTCGATGTGTAGCGGTCCAGTTACACACATTTCGATATGCTTTCCGGCGGTTTCTGCAACACACACTAATAATATTCATATCATCGTCAGTATTTGAGGTAGAAAAAAAAGTAAAAACTGCTATGTGTTTCTGAAAGATTAACGAACAATATACTCTGGAGAAAAACTGTGATGCTACTACAACAACACTATGGTAGAGGTCTTAAACTTGCGTCTGCCGCAAGCAGCCAAAAGCAGATCGACCTTTGTGTAACCGAGCCGCTGCAGATCGAACTTTGTGTAACCGGACCGCCGCATATCGAACTTCGAACTAAGGTGTTACGAATCGGTTTTTCCCCTTGCTGCACGAGAGAATTGTCATTTTCTCCTCCAAGCGAAGTCAAGTATCATTCTGGGTACCCATGGCCCGTGGAAAACAAAGTCCATCAAGTGTGTTCCTGCCCGGCACACACAAGCAGGCACACACATGTAACCGTCGACCTGGTAGGCACACACTTGCTCGTGCGTGCCTGCAGGCACGCTGTTTCTTATGTTTAAATGGTCGACCCTTGGATTTACAGTGTCAAAGTGTGCGACATCCACATACATGCGTTTCCAGTAGCCTATGTCTGTGCCTCATCTACCGCTCAACGTCAAAGAACATAGATTGGTTGGGTGGGGAGTAGACTGTCTAGCCCTGTCTACTTCTCATCTACATCCCATCTACATTTAGACGGATAACTTCATAAATAGGTCGAGGGGGAAATCACTTGCGTACAAACTCGTACACCCAGGCCTGTACTAAAGACGTACTAACTCGTACTAACAGCGTAATAACGCTTACTAATGGTAGAAATCAATCGTAATAGTGCCGTAATAACAGTATTTTTCATAAATGATGAAAAACTACGCAAAAAATAGGGTGTACTAACGATTACTAACGTACTAACTCGTACACTTTGATCTGGAGTGATTTCCCCCTCGAAATAGGCTAGACCGACCTCAGACGATACTAGCCGACTAACGAAGTAGGCGTCTAACTAGGTGGACGAGAAAGGCCCGGAAAAGATCACCTATGGACGTATAACTTCTCTTTGGGCGGTGGGGTGGTAAGGGTCCCGTGTGCGTGGATTGGCTTCTTGTTTGCTTTAATTTGTAAAGAAATGAAACTGGGAGCCCTCTTGTGCGGCACCCCGCGCTGAGGGAGAGGGGGTACTGGTTAGGAGTGATCTACTTGCTGTTGTGCGTTAGGGGTGGAGAAGGGCGGAGCTAAAGCCCGGAGCAGCGGAGTAGTGGGTGGGATAGAGCGAGGGCTGGTGGGGCAGAGGGGTCAGAGGGGGCAGAGGGGGCAGAGGGGGCGGGGCTCCTCGCTTGGGTGGGGAGCTCATATATTGTCCCGATGCCCCCTCCTGGCGGCCAGTCTCTCTCCACACACGATCCACACCGTTTCGCCCATCTTCGTATGTTTACATTAGGTGAATCGCGGTTTGCAGACGTAAAGTGAACAACTTGATTGAAATTAGTGAGTTTGTAGAGTCCGGTGCAGCTGATGATAACCAGGAGTCAACATAGGGGCGTGCATCTAGACTGAACCGAAACAACATGGTGGTCGAATCGGTGAGTACTACGTGTGCACTGTGCAAAAGAGCAGCGAGGTACAGTTGTGTGTTTGATTACGAAATTTCGCTGGGAATTTCTAGCGGTCTCTGTAGTTCGTAGTTGTAGAAAATGAAAATTGCGTGGTGGGCGTAGAAATGCGTGAAGTTAAGTTTGTAAATCATATAGACGACTGATAACCCTCCCCCAGCCTCTTTTAAAGTCCCTTTTCCTTTTAAAAATTTAATGGAAATGATTACTAACTAGAAAACTAAGACCGCTGTTAATTGATTTAACACCATAGTAATATTTCATGTATGTTACTAATGTAATATTTGTGGCAATATCAGCCCGGTGTACGGAGGAATATCGTAGGGCATAGATACACAGAATACAATCCTTTTGACCACAAAATTTTGACCAAACGGTGCTTATAAGTTTTTTCCTGAATATACCTTCATTATCCAGCAAATATAATGTGCATGCGCACCTTTTGAATGAATGATTTCTTTGATATAGAACCAAAACAATGGTCTTGGTTGTGGGTATTTCCTTAAAAATGAAATTTCCTCAGTGGAAAACTGCAATTTTTGTTTCAAAACACCGATTATCTGGATGAGAAACCTTCGATGGTGCTGTAGTTGGTCAGCCGGAGCCTGTTCCCAGCAGTGCCTCTGCCTCACGCCCGACTGGCTCGTGGAACCGCCGATCTTGCACAAAAGGGGTGTATGGTGGGGTAGGGCGTGGCTAGCGACTCTACCGCCCTCCATACTGAACTGACCGCCTCCATACTGCAACGACTCTAAAAGTTTGCCCAATTGAATCAGAAACAAATGTAGAAAAACTTTTGCACTGGAATTCTGTCTGATATTCTGGTGCGTAGCCAAGTACATGTATGCAGTATCTACTAAATACGCCTCATATATGGGCTATATACTGAACATCTATGAAGTATGAAATATGGTGTAACACTCTTCCATTAACATGCGCCCAATCAGGGTGAATTAATGTCTGGGGAACCATATGGACGAATTTCCTCCTTCGCACCCGTTCCGTGCCCGTATTGAATCAATCACAAGCTGTTAGCTTCAAACCCCCAACACTTTGGCCTTTTGGGGAAGGCTCTTCTTTGCATTAATTCACCATCGTGCAAAGTCCACTAGAAATCCTGGACCGAAGGTTCTCGGGGTTCTCGCCCTCAGAAGGATACAATATTTGTGCCGTAAATTTTCGTTCGCTCGATTAAGAGTGACAGTTTTAAAAACTCACCCTTGTATTTGCAACGTCTAAGAAATGTCAATGACTGAACGACGTAATGACTGCTTTGTCGAACAACGTCGGTGAAGTGATGGGCGGGTGGGTTGCGGAGTGGTCCGGGCGGGCGCAGTGTCTGTGACTCTGCCGGCAGGCGGCCAGGGTCAGGGTCATCAGTGGCCAAGAGGCGGAGAGTGGCGGGGCAAGGGAGTGGTGGAGTGTGACGTCCACAATAAATTGTTATGAACTTTTTTTGAACGCAGCTACGTGCATCTGTGTACATGCTCTATTGTGTATAATTTGAAACGCAGTTATGGACAAATTTGGAAAAAATATTTGCAACTATGAACAATTTTATCCATAACTGCGTTTAAAATTATACGCAGTGGAGCATGTACACAGATGTACGTAAGTGTGTATAAAAGAGTTCATAAACATTTAGTGTGTCGAGTTGGGGAGCAAAGCTCCGACTGTTCCTGCCAGACTGGGGAAGACGAAGTGTCGCGGGAGTTCCAAAGCAGCGGCGGGCGCAAGGCGCAAGGCGCAAGGGACTAGCGATCCTAGACTTGAATGTCCTGCTAGGCTTGGGCAAGGGTGCGGCCTCGAACTAGTTTCGAGCCCATCGACCAACCCGTTCATTTCCAGATAAATTATTTGGAGTTGCATGTACATTTTGTACTAAAGGTGACCCAAGATTCAAGTTGACCATCAGACACCCTGAAAATGCCCTCGCTCAGCTCCTGCAAATTAAACAGACATGCATAAGCCCATTTTCAAAAAGCCCAGCGTTTTATCCAAACTTTTGCATTGTATGTTTTGAGAACCAAGTGCTTGTGTGAACGGTTTCAAGAACTGATACATAGTGAAAAATTATCCTCGTAAATTTACAACAGTAATTTTTATTCACAAAATACTATACTATGTAGAGTACCGTTTTCTTTTTCGTTTAGGGAATTTGTATGTAAAATCGAAATCGAAATTGATTTTCATCCGCGTGTGGAGCAAGGAGTCTGAACACTTAAAAAAATAAAAAATAAAAAAAAACAACTACGAGAACACAAAACTAGCAACACCTGGCAGAGTCCAAAAAATTTTCTGGAAACGACCCAACGACCCAAGAACATGTTGCGCTTATTTATTTGTTGTGATTGTGGACGACAGTGTCAGCGTTCGACTTACCAGTGTGTCCGCAAACGGCCGTCCACACTTCTTTTCGGCCCTCCCCCCCTCTCTCTCTCTCTCCTTACCACCACCCACAAAGAGAGGAGTTGGGTGCGAATGGGTGGCGCGTGGCGCTAGACGTAGTAGTGGTTGAATGTGTGCGTAAGAGCGTGTCTGTGAGTGGTTCTGCCGCCCGACTGGCTCGCTGGACGAGCAACCAGTGAAATAGTGTCCGGAACCTGTTATAACACCCCGCTGCGTCCAGCTATTTTTAGGCACTGCATGGACCGACACCAGGCGTGACTTTTGCCGCTCTTTCACTCGAGCCCGCCTCAGACCGGGTGCAGAGCAATAGGCTTCGGGCGTGAGATACGATCAGATACGCGGCAGTACTATTTTTATGCAAAAGGTCGTCAAAAGATTTTGCGTTGGCTGGCCGTTGGTCAGGTCAGATTATTAAAAAAATTATGAAGTCTATATATTAGTCGAAAGAGTGGACGATGTTTTAAAAACGGTAAAAACAAGGTCTGATTTTTCGCGGAAAAGGGGAAAACTTTGAGCAGCCCCCATAGTTCTTTATATAGTTTGAAGAAGTTGTGGTCCTTAAAATATGAGGAGTTTTCCTCAACTATGGGAGTTCTTGAAAGTTTTCCCGTTTTCCTCAAAATATCAGACGTTGCTTTCATCCGCACGCGCACCCGCGCGCCCACCCTGCCTACTCGGCTAGAAACGTGCTGACACGTAAGTCCACCTGGAGCCTTTAAATAGACGTCAACACAGTTCTCAAGGAGGACCAGGGAGCATGGCCCGGCCCAACCCCCCGGGGCCACCACCCTGTGTGTCCAGCCGTCCAGCACAAAGAGGAGCCACGTGGACACGACCCTCAGTGTGACTTGAATAGAGACTAGACATCGACTAGGAAGTGCAGGCAACAGCGATTGGCATCTGCCCGCGGTCGAGTGCAAGTCCTGACCCTGGCGGAGTGAAAGTGCGATTGCAGGCCGAGCAGGCGGGGGGGAGGGGGGACCTGTCGGCTGGACCGGCCGGCGCGTGCACCCCTGCAGCGTAGGCAAACCCGCACCGACGCCGCGTCGTCCAAAGCGTCCTCGACCCCATTTGTGTGTGTGAGCATGTGTGTGCGCGCGCGTGCGTTCGTGCGTGCGTGCGTGCGTGCGTTTGAGTATCTCTCTTGAGGGTTTCTCCTCTCTTTAATCCTCTCAAAAAACCGTATATCTTTCTTGAAACGAAAACTCATGACTTTGACGTAAATCAAAAAAAGATTCATTGAATCGAAGATTTTTTTTAGCTGAAAAAAGTTTGCTTAGTTGCACAAATATTTCGTTTTGAAAAGACAGCTAAAAAAATCTTTGTTTCAATGACAAGTTGTTTGATTTACGGCATAGTCATGATTTCGTTCCCAGAAAATACTACAGAGCATTGCATTTCTTCCGTAATACGAGGCTTGCA